TGATGATGATGCAAAATTGCTCGTTCAAATTCGAAACTCCATTGAGCCAAATATACTTTCTTTGGTTAATTATTGTGAATTGTCAAAGATGGATAATCTAACATTCTTATACTCTGAATGTACCAATATCTCCTTCGTATTTAATTAGTTTGCAAATCGTTTCATAGAGGAGAGCAACACTATAAAAACGCTACGACATATGTCATGGAGTTTAACAAGGTTTGTAACGAACTAAACTCTCTCCTTCTGTTAAGCAGCGATGTCAAAAGAATGCAGAAACAAGGGGAACAAATTGTTGTTACATCCAAAATTTGATGCTTTCAAGTATCAACTTCTCTCCGAATCGAGCATTCCTTCTCTCCAAGAGACATTTGCCCATTCATGAAATGCAGTCTCCCACTCTCGGCACTCATGTCTCTCAACATAGTGTCATGGTCAGTCGCGGAGGCTCTTAAGGAGTTCTTTTGTGGCGGACCTCGACGAGGCTCTCAAGGAGGTTCTTAGTGTGGTACTCGATGCGGTACGACAAATCATGGCTCTCGCAATCCCGAATCTAAAGAAGTGGAGTGTTATTATTGTCATGAATTTGGGCACACTAAAGTATTCATGTCCTCAGTTAAGAAGAAGAATTAGAAGAGCCACTAGCTCTGCTCATGGTCATCGTCTGACATGGTCACTTCCCTATTTCTGCTGAGGAGTATTCTCGACTTACTGAAACAGAGAAACCTTCGTCATCTGTTGCCTTCTTTGCACGTAATTCCGTAACAAGCCTCATATCTAAAGGCACTATTCAGGTGCGTCAAATCATAAGACAGGTAACCCAGTCTTTTTTCCACCCTTGACCCTGATAGACCTTTTTTTGTGTCACTATGGTTGATGGGTTTACTACCCGTGCCTTTGGTTCTGGCAGCCTGTCTTACTCTTTTTATCTCTTTACACTCTGTACTAAGCTTGCCAAAGGACGTGAATCTGATGGCCTTTATGTTTTCGACTCTTCGACATCTATGTCACTTGTTTGCACCCCTTCCTCCTTTGCACTAGATATGCATTGTCGTCTTAGCCATCCTTCCCTCTAAAGTTCTAAAGATTTGATCCTCAATTTTCAAGGTTGTCATCCGTATTTTGTGAGTCATGTCAGTTTGTTGAACATTGGCGTAGTTCTTTATCGCCTAGAATAAACATGAAGGATGCAACCCCATTTAGGTTGGTTATGTTTGGGGTCCTTGTTCGGTGTCATCGAAATCTGGTTTTAGATATTTTATTACTTTTATTACTTTTATTGATGATATTACTTTATGAAGTCGTTCTGATAAGATCAAAATTAAAGCTCAATTTTTTACTACAATTCAAACACTTACGAAGTTATAATGCAAAAGAATTTTTGTTTGCACCTTTTCAATCTTATATGTTTGAAAATGGGATTTTGCATAAAACGTCATGCGTTGATACACCAGCTCAAAATGGGAATGCAGAACGTAAAAATCGACACCTTTTTGAGGTTGCACGAGCATGTTCCTAAAAGTTTTGGGCTATGTTGTGTCCACTGCTTGTTTTTTTATCAATGCCCTCGGCTCTATTTGGTTAATTAGATTCCATTTTAAGAAAAAAAAAAAAAAACATTTTTCCTCACACCTAAAATTTCTGGGTGCACTTGTTTTGTCCAAGATACAAGACCTCATATCACCAAGTTAGATTCGAAATCTCTCAAGTGTATTTTTCTTGTGTACTCCACGGTGTAGAAAGGATATCAGTGTTTTCCCCTGTCCTCGATCGGTATGTTTTGTCTTGGGATGTTAGTTTTTATGGACACCTTCCATCTTTCCCTACTCTAGAGTCTCCATCTCCAAAGGAGGACGAGTTCTTGGTATATTATGTTACTCTCACTACGCCTACTTCCCCTCCACCTCAGAGAACTCGGCCGCCCAATAACATATACTCGACGCTCTCAATCAAATCAAGAGTTCACCACAGACTTTGATTCACATCCTTTGTGTGCTACTCCGTTGGACAACCCTGTGCCCAATCCAACCTCTACACATGTCCCCGAACCAAAAAAAACCCTAATGACCTTCCTAGTTCGCTTCGCAAAGGTAAAAGATCTAGCACTTATCCTATTGCTTTTGTTGCGTTTATGACAACTTGTGTGTTTCTTCAAGCTCTTTTGTTGTCAAGCTAGACTCTATCCCTATTCCTACATCTATTGGCGCTTGGCGCTGCTTTAGCTCATCGTGATGGGTAATGCTATGATTGAGAAAATGAATGCTCTTGATCATAATGACACATGGTCTTTAGTGGACTTTGCAAAAAGAAAATTGATTGTTAAAGGTAATCCTGATAGCTCTTTGGCACGTCTTAAAGCTCGATTAGTAACTAAAGGCTATGCTCAGACTTATGGCACCGATTACTCTGAGATCTCTCCCGTGGCTAAACTTACTTTTGTTCGAATGCTCATCTCCCTTGCTGCCTTTGTTGCCTCTTCTGACTGGGTTCTACACCAACTTAACATTAAGAATGTGTTTCTTCATGGCTTTCTAGGGGGAGTATGGGAAGGTATATCATCTTCATAAGTCTCTGTATGGGTTAAAGAAAAGTCCCCGAGCTTGGTTCGACAAATTTAGCCAAAAATTGTTTTGAAATATGGGTTGGTGAGATGAAAATCCGATCACTCGAGAATACGCGATCAAGTCTTGGGATCATTTCATTCGTGGTGTATGTCGAGGATATTGATATTGCATGGAATGATAATGATGGGATCTCAAACCTAAAATCCTTCCTCCATGAGAATTTTCAAACAGAGGACTTGGGACGCTTGAGATACTTTCTGGGAGTAGAGATAATGAGAAGAGTAGAATTTTCCTTTGTCATAGGAAGTATGTGCTAAACCTTCTTAAAGAAACTAGAAAAGTTGGGGAAAAAAACAACTCTGATGACACCAAACTTGCAGTTAGGAAAGAATGATGGTGAGCTATTTCATGATATAAAACGATATAGAAGACTTGTAAGGAAACTGAATTATCTCACCATAACATGCGCTGCCATATCCTTTGAAGTTGGTGTAGCAAGTCGATTTATGTCTTCTCGAACCGTTTTGGGCACTTCTTGAACAAATTTTATGCTACTTGAAAAGGGCTCGGGACGGGCATTGTTCAATAGGCGACAATCAAAAAGCTAGGACAATCCAAGCATGTTGTGGTGCCGACTACGCAGGGATGATAGAAGATCAACTTATGGTTACTGTATATTTATGGGAGGGAGGCAATCTAGTTTCGTGGAGAAGCAAGAAGTAAAATGTTGCTTCTCGTTCAGTTGATAATGCAGAGTATAGGTCGATGGTTGATTCAGTATATGAGGTAGTATACATACATCAGTTACTAAAGGAGCTTGGATTAGCAGATTAGAATTTGCTCTCCCAGGCTCCCAGCTGCCAGCTGCCAGCAACAGTTTAGTGTGACAACCAAGGAGCAAACCACATTGCATCAAATCCTTTATTTCATGAACGAACCAAACACGTCGAGATAGATTGCCACTTTGGATGTGCACTTTAGCCGACATTCTTCACAGAACCCAACAAGGACAAAGGACAATGGGAAGCGGATAATACGCGGTTCGAGCCTGTGTGATGACACTTGTGGCCCCTATGCAATGATCAACTGTATTCTTTTTTATAAGGGTCGTTTAGTTTTGCCATTTACTCGAACTTTGTTTCATTATGAACGCCAGTCTTATGACAAGGCTGTTTCTGGGAGGTAGCAATGACAGAGATGAAAGGATGGAAAGCAATCAATTCTTGAATATCTTATGCTGATTTTGGGATATTAATTGGTGCTTAATCTTAAGGATTTTTACTAATTTATTATACCTTAAATGCTAATATTGTTCTTACCCCTTTTATTTCTTACTGTCATCTCATATTAGCTATGTTTAGTATATAAGAGAGAGTGGTCAATAGGTTAAGTAGGAGGAGATTTATTTTGTAATAGCATAGTCTATTGGGCAAGTTTCTTGCTGGGCTGGGCTGGAAAAGTTTCATACTTCTTGTTTCGTCCCTATTATTATCATCAATAACATTACCTCTATTATTCTTGATCCTTAACTCCTAACAGTTTTTGCTTTGGGGTCACTCCAAACTGAAGTTTAACACATTATGTCTATCATTGTATTTTGGTTTAACAATTAAAATCTCCCTTGTCCACGAGTTTTCTATTTTATTTCATTTACTTTTATTCATTTGCAGACAGCCACTGAGGCAAATATAAGTCACACAACTATGAAATTTACAGAAGCATCATCCATTTTCTTAGGCCACCAAAGATAAGATTAAGATGCTAAAATCCTTTCAGTTGGAAAGGCCTATCCACCCGAAAAATGTGATGATGTTTCGCTCCTTCAACATTGGTTCTTCTATACAATCTAATTATTGTGATGCTAACTAGACAGATTAACTTTGGGTTCAGTATATTGCTTCATAACTAAACTTGAAAGGTATTTCACGTATTCCTGTGTAATTGTGACTAGATTAATACAGGAAACATACGACCTGAATAGTTCCAAGGATATGTTTAGATAAAGTACCACCATTTAGCTAATTGACCATCCTATGCTATAGAACTTAGAACTCAAAACAGAAAAAAGACTACAAACTACATTATTGCATTTTTATTCATGTTGTTTAGGGAACATGTCTGCTCTCATCCACTACAAAGTGATCCACACTCAGCAGGTACGCAAAGAAAACGTTATGAAAGAAAACAACATTTAATATGAGATCAGGAGGCCTTCCCCTCAGAACATGCAACAATACAGAATTAAAGACATTAATTCTCACCACTGTTAAGATCAGACAGGAAATAAAATGTGCTGAAAATGTCCAATAAAGATAGTATGCAACCGTGCAGGTAAAAACTGTCATATTAAAAGATTCCACAGAATATACCATGAAGAGTTGCTCAAGACAATATAAGTTCATCCAGATAATGAAGCTCACCAGTAAAAAATGAACATTACGCCTTGTACTCGTGGATACGCATCCATTTCGTAGATGACCATTTGTTCCCTTTTATAACAGGACAACCACCTACAGAACACCAAAATAATGTGTCAGGAGCACAATACTCAAATAAAGCAACACAAGTAAATAAGACGACCATGTAATGCATCTGCTAGCTAAGCTAGCCACTTCAACCATTACTAAAAAGATACAACTCAGGCCCACAACTAACCATGTAAACTTGATGGATCCAAAGTTGCATCAGGCTTCATGCTCCAAAAAAGTAATGCATCGCCCATTTTTGGTTTGACCGAAAGTCCCCCTTTGCCACATTCAGATAGCTCATCCCACCATGGCACAGAACTAAAATTTCCTTTTGCTGCTGGAAACACCGTCTCACCACCTTCTTCAACATCTGACCTATAATTTCATGAATCAGAGATGTGCAACAGTGACTTGTAGAACATCGAAACAGAGAAAAGTTACTTACAAATACATAAGAACAGTGGCAATGCGTTGACCACCATTTTGAGTATTGAACTCATCCTGAAAGTAGTCGTAGTGAGGCTCATATTTTTGCCCTACTTCATAATGAAGAATTTGAAGGCCTTCACCATGTTCTGTTGATTAAAGGAGATGTATTGAAGTCAAGTGTGAAAAACTCTGATATATCAAGCAAGCAAAATAAAGTAAATGACGGCCAAATAACCGATTATCAGATGGGCAAGCAAAGCCAAACGATATCGCATTGCCTGAAAATAGAGCAAAAGACTCGGAGATGTATTATACTATTATGTATCATTCATGTACATTATACATGAATGATATTATACAACTTTCTGTGAAAATAAGCTTCATTCATGCATGCAGAAACCAAAACTCTGTACAGTAATAAACAATATCTTGTGCAATTTTGCCAATGTAACTAATTTGATCCTTTCACCTTATTCATGCAGTCGCAGATCAAAGCATAAAGCAGTAGTGAAGGAACCTAGCGGCCCTACAACATATATACTCTACCTATATCTGGTAACCAAGGAACACATCGAAGTATACGACAGGTGTAAGATATCTAAAACCAGAACTGGCGGTGATATTTTAAACTAAGCCAAGTGTATCCCGGCACAAACTTTTAGAAAACAATTTCATCTGAAGACATCAAAGTTTGGGATCCAGTAGCAAGTAAAATGCATACCTACAGGAATGAAGGTGAAATCTGCAATTCGTTTCTCTATTCTCTGAACAATCTTGTCACGCCCTCTTGCAAGAAATGTTCCAGAACTAGTACGTACTCTGCAGGGACAAAAGGCATGAAAATCCAATGGCACAGCAAGAAAAGCGCACATGGATATTCAATTTTCTATGTTGTATTAAAGACAACGTAAGTGAAACGGCTTCAAAGGGAACTTTGGAAAGCTGAATCATTTAGGTATTAGACTGGAAAGCAGCCATCGCCCCTATATATTAATTCAAAACATGGTGAGCCTAAGTGTCAAATTCTCATGCTTCGGATGTTGACATGGCGAAAATCTATGCTTCGTAATGTTGTTTATATATTCATTTTTGCTCTAGAGTTAGGCTTGGTATTAGACATAAATAACTTTTCAAACTTGGTATGTGTATATTTAATTTTGTTATTTTCTTCTCTTACTACACATTTCCTTCTTAGTTTTGGCAAGTAGCAATCTTACCACATTATAAGTTTCTCCCACATTTTTCTCCTAAATTACGATTTACAAATCACTTTCTGCATTGTCTATTTCCTTTTTTCAATCAATTAGTCCATCAAAATTTATAAATAAAAAAATTATTTTAGCTAATTTTTATCATATATTTCTTAACTCAACACCCGTTCAGTACACGGGTATTGTACTAGTTATAGCTGATTTAGAAACGAAAAGAACTACTTAAGCCATATTAAAGTTATGTGCTTCTAGAGCCGTTCGAAAATACATCCAAAAAGAACTAGTAAGTGGTGGCAAGTTAATAATCTAGGAATCGGAGGTGAACAATACATACAATAGATGTTTCAAATAGTTGGCTCACTATGATGTTAATATTATGATGGAGTTATGTCGAGATAATTTCAGCAAGCGGAGAACTGTTTACAGATCATATATAGCTGCTTGATAACCATGCTGAGACTGATCATGTAATTAAATAAATTCAATAAACAACATGATAGAAGTGAGGCTAAGCGTGGATGCAGCCATAGCAGAACATATAATGTCAAACTAGATAGTCAACCAAGTTAGAGAGCCTCCAAGAAAATGCTTGGAAAGGTTTAAGATAACTTGTGAAAGGAATATTGATTATAGAACCACCATCTCATATGCCACTATGCTAATAAGAAATGATTTCAACAATATGAACTTCAGAGATGGAGCCGATGCCTGATAGGAAATTAGGTTGTGAAGACAATGGAAGTGAGAAGTGAAAATTAAGGCCATTTCATCTTGTTGGTCAATTTTAAATACCAACCAAAAGACGGAACTAGTCTTGGCATACCTGCTATCTTTACTCTTTCCAGTGTCGCTATCAACGACAGTTGACTTTTCCATATGCGGCTCAGCAATGCTAATAAGATATTCACATTCCTCTTTGGACTGCCATGAAAAAAAAAATCTTAACAAATGGAATGCACATTTAGTGAAGCAGAAAATGTGTGTCCATAGAACCGACATACAAACAGTATTGATCTTTCTAGGTATACATGAATTCATAAAGAAGAAATACATCTGGTGGTTGCAGCCATCACTTTGATCATGCTACCACTTCCACATCTCATTTTAAGCTATCACTAACCACCTCCTATTACCAGTTAAAAAGAAGATAAAGATACAAGTAATAAAAGTCAACAACTGCATTACACTGGAGAGTTATGATGAATTACCCGAGCCCTACTCTGCAAAGTACAAGGTTTTACAACTCTCATCTCAATATCATTGTCTGATCCAGACCATACGAGTTATAATAAATGGCAAGAAGATGCCAACAAAAAGAGATATGAGTTAAGGTTTTGCACTGTAATTAATGCGCAGTTCCAGGAAGGACACGCATGTTTGGACTTCAAGGATACATCATCTGAATACAGTCTTAAAAGCTAAATTACACTTTTATGTACATAAGAATAGGATAATTACCAAAAAATTATGAAAAACGAAGGCTCTGGGTTCCCAGGAAATAACTTCGACCCATTGATCCTTTCTTTCTTCATCTTCATGATTTCTAATAAAATACAAAGCAATTGAATTCTAACACGAGGAAAAAAAAAACAAAAAAAAAAAGACTTTAAAGAGGGTGGGTTCAATTTCACTTCACTTACGAGTACACTGAATTGTGCGCGATAAAGCTGAGGTCATGCGCCCTAGGAGAATTCGTTGAGCTCTTGTTGCCGGAAATGGAGAGAATACCAAGTGACAAGAGGATCACAATCAGCAGCGACAACATTATTAGCCCATAGAGGACCACCGTAGACGACGGCGTTTTACGCGGCGCACCCCTCCCGTAGAGCTGCCTCCCCTTCCCCGCCATCGCTAAGCCAATAAATCTTTCAACTGTGTTGGGGATCTGAATTTGGAAGTATGAAAGCACCAGAAATCTGAAAGCAATCAAGTAAGGAACGTAGATTAGGCTCCAAATACACAATTAATAAAGTTTTCAGCTGGTCAACTCTTTATGTTGTTACAAAATGTAGTGTAATGGCTTAAGATCTTGTGGAAAAAATAGTGATAGAGGAGGGATCATATTAGAAAGGGTAAAATACTTTTTCCCAAAAAGATAAAGTGATAGAGGAGGGATCATATTAGAAAGGGTAAAATACTTTTTCACATCCGAAC